AGAAGTCCTTCCAGGTGATTTTTATGTCTTTTCACATTTTTATTTTTCTATTAAGCATTTTGTCAATATCATCAACATGTATCTGTGAGCTATTGGGAAGAGGATAGTATTTTATGATGTCTTCCTGTTCCCCAGCAGTTTATAATCTGGTGTAGGGGTAAATACATAGTAACTGTTGAATGAAGGTCTCTAGACTTCTGGAAAGACATTACAGAAGAGATACCACTTGATCAGAGACTTGAAGAATTAGAAGAAACTGCCAAGCAGAAAATGGCTGTGTCTGAGCGACAAAGGAGAAACATAGTGGAGAGTTATAAAGAACAAGTCATAGACTGTAGAAGGAGGTCCTGGCTAACAGATAAGAGTAGACACGTGAGTGTATGGTCTATCTTATCTCTATATAAGTCTAATATTGGGTGTATACTGTGAGTAATGGCAGAAATAGGGAGGTGGCTGGACAGAAAGGCAAGGGCTAGATTGGAGAGTCCTTATATAGTGTATTTAAAAAAGGGAGAGAGAAAAATAAAAAGAGTTCAACACAAGGCAGAGTCATTTGCAAATGTAGATGAGTAGAGAGTCAGGATCAAGTATTCACATTAGAGGTAATATCACTGTGACAGTATTGAGGAGATATGGGAGAGAAATAAGGTTAGATCATGACCATAAAGAGCTCTGAAAAGTGATGATGAAAGCCAGAACTTGGAGAGAGAAAGTGAGACTAGGGTAAAGTACAGGGATGCCAGAGATGTTCAGGGCTTGTGTAGAAGACATGGTAGTAGATTAGATTAGAAGTGTGTGTGCACATTACACATGTGGGGGTGTGTTTAGGGAATGGGTGGGTCATGGGTGAGAGGGGTAGAGGAGTGTAAGTTATTATTCCACTTTGGGCACAAAGGAGGTTGAGGGCTTGCTCCCAAAGGTGAGCATGAGATGTGCTCTTATAGCCCCTTGTCTGTTCTTGTCTCTTGGCCATAGCCAGTTCTTTCTGGTAGTGGAGGCATCCATTCAACAGTTATTGATTATTTATCAGTCCTTCCTCCAGACTACAAACTCCTAGGGGGCAGGTAGACATGCCCTCTTCATCCTGGGATACTATTCTCCTCCCATTAATCTTGCCAAGCTTTCCATGTTGAAGAAGCCTAGAAAATGATTGATGGACAAATAGCCATATTAGAAGACTGCTACAGAGATTCGAGTCTCAGGGAAAAAATATGTATCTATGTGTATGTACGTGTGTGTGTATGTCATCTTTAAAATGTGCATGATTTTCAAAATTAAAATGTTAAATCATGATAAAACTTCAAGAATTTCTGCAAAAAAATAAAAATGAAATGCCAAAAATAAATATTTGGAAGCGTCTCTAATCCAGTAAGTAGAAAAGATTTGCTATGTATTTAATTGAATATGTGGGCCAGGAAAGTGTTGCCATAGCTCTCTTTTACCATGAAGAACATAAATAAATATGCTTTAAAATGGTTCCTGTTCTTTACCCCCTTCTACCTCCAAAGAGGTAAAGAACTTTAAATTGCAAATGCAAAAAAAAATTATAGCTAAATGTACTATTTTCACACACGTAACTATGAGAGAGAAAACACTCAGAAACATGCCGGTACATACACAGAAGAATTTATAATAGAGTTGTGAGAAACCTTCTCATCTAGTGAGCTATTTCCTAGAAGAAAGCAATGGCTCCTGAAATTGCGCCCTGATGCCTTCCTTCAAAGATTTTAGGAATCTTTAAGCAGTGTATGTGTGTGCATATGTGTGCATATTCACCAAGAAAGAAAAAGAGAAATTGGTTTAAAAAAAAAATTTGCTTCTAAGGATTAGGATTGATTCTTTGTTGTTTACTTTATAAATATGACTGGTTTTCATCTTCAGAGTATGTGACTGTTAAGTGTCTGTTTTGGGGGCCGACTCCTTTCCAGCTGCGGTCCAGAGTTTGCCTGCCATTAACCCAGTTGCTCCGTCACTGTCTCCATTTATAGTTGGGTTTGTGAAGTGTTTAAAATAGGAACTCTGGGTTTCTGCTGATCCTGAGTCATCAAAGAAAAGAAAAGCTTTATTCGTTCTTATATTCAATTCCATCCATTCAGACGTTTTTTAAGATTGACATGGTTGACTAGAAACATCTAACCTTATATGTTTTTAGGTTCAGACTGAATCTTCTGTACTCTCTTCTTCAGAGTATCAGGATCTTACTGAGTATTTATTTTGGAGTTTTTTCATGGTATATATTTTAACAAATTGCTTAATGTGGAAATAACATCTTCTATTGAGTACTGTTGGGACCACCTTTCTAGAGAGGGAAATGCTGCTCCACCAAGACAAGAATTTTCATGTTACTTAAATTACAAAAGGAAATGGCAAGTTGGCTTCCTGAGAGACTATCCAAAAAAGGGGGGAAAAAGATAACGCTATTCAGCAGTTTCTTGTAACTGAACAGAAAACTAAATCTAAAATTACAAAATCTCTGGGAAACTACAACTGAGACAAATCACAAATGATAGGAAAAGATAGCTGTCACAGTCAGAACCCAATAAAAATGATAGCACACAGAATCCAGCCCCTTCCAAGGAACTGATTTATAAATGTCCTGTGTATATAGGTCTGTTTGGGTATAGAGAAGCCATTAGGGACGAAATGATAATCTGGGGCTAGCAGAGTCAGAATTGTCATCCTGTACATTCAAGAGGACCAAAGGGCGGGGAGCAGTTAATTGTGAACAGGAGAAGAGAGTGTTGTAGAAGAAAGACCCTAGAAAGGACCAGTGACCCTCCTTGGCTGATAGCTGGGGACATCACAATCAGGTTGCTGGAAGAAATGTGGCTCAAGAGTTTTTTAGTATCTGTTGACAGGGGCACTGTTGTCCTCTTTGGTTTAACACTAATGTGTTTTCTCCTTCTACCTGCTCAATGAAAACAGCATCCCCTAATCACTGTGACAATAAAAGGCATTGCCACACATTGCTAATCTCTCCCTGGTCACTAGGTAATTCCCTCTCCAGCTGAGAACCACTATATGTTAATCAAATGTCCCTGGGCTTGTTTTAATCTTTATCTCTGGCTGAGATCACCATAAAGCTATCCTCAGATAGCCATATATCTAAATAGATCTACTTGGATATTATGGTGAGAATAGGATAGCTGTACCACTCCAACCCCACAGCCACATCCCAGGAGGGAAGGAGGAAAGGGGAAAACTAGGAAGGGATGATGCTATGTCAGGAGAGCTCTAGTTTTTCCAGAAATGCTTTGCATACATCTTATTGGCCAGAGCTGCATCACATGGCAACTCCTGCCTGAAAAGTAATCTAGGGAAGTGTGAGCATATTGCTGCTCTTAATAAAACTGAAATCTTTTGAGTAATGAAGAAGGGGAGTGTGTATGTGAAAGCAGTTAGCAGCATATGCCCCCCTGCCGTGTATATCTCTCTAATGGCTTGGTGTGGATAAATGACACTAGAATAATACAAAGTCTTGTATTGTTGCTTCTTATACATATTGGAATTTATTTGGAAATTAATGAACAACCAAAACAGGGTGTAGTTATTCATTTTGCATATTAATAAATCTAATCATATTAAGGATTAATAAATCTAATCATATTAAGGAAGAGCAGAATTAAAACATTCTGTTACTGGTGTGTGTACAGATCCCTAATACATCAGTGCCTCACGATGAATGTTTGAATTTTCAGACCTTCTCTAAGCCTTACTTATTCCCAGACTAACCAAGACCTCTCACAGTTAAGCAAAAGGTCTCTTAATCTTTGTGCTCTTAGGTTATTTTTAGGATATTCAGCAAGTATTTTTGAATTGAACAAATGAATGCAGCAGAAATAGAAGATATAAAGGGAGGAGAAGGCTGCTTTTGTGTTATCTTTAGTAAATCACTCTTAACAGGAATCTTTGATCCTAAATTTAGTATTTCTTTGGTTGTGCCAGGGATATATGTTTATTCCTCTCAACACTCCTCATTTTTATTTTTGTTCCCTCTGTTTAGCCCTTCCTCTCTCTTTTTCTAGTATCGCACTTTATGGTGATCAAGTCTTTGGGCAGTTTGTTTGAGATCACATTGTTCAATTTATTTTTCTTGGCTCTGATATTTCGGTATGTATTGTAAAAATTCATTACCAAGTCCACTGTCATAATTTTTCCCCCTCTATTTTTTAAAAAAAAGCTTTATCTCTTACATTTTGATTTGGGGTTATTCTTTGTATGTGGTGTAAAGTAAGGGTACAGCTTAATTCGTTTGCATGCGGATGTCCAGTATTCCCAGCATCACTTACTGTAAAAACTATCCTTTCCCCATCAAATGATCTTGGCACCCATGTCAAAAATTAAGTGACCATGTATGCGAGGGTTCATTTCTGGGTTCTCTGTTCTATTTCATTGGTCTATGTTTGTCTTTATGCCAGTAGAACATTGTTTGCTTATTATAATTTTGTAATAAAGTTTGAAGTTGCATGTGGGAACTTCCATCTTCTTTTAAGGTTGTTTTGGCTATTCGGTCTCTTGAGATTCCATTTTTCATAAAAGTTCGTTGGAATTTTGACAGGGATTACATTAAATCTGTACATTTACTATGGATAGTATTAATGTATTTATAATATTGTCTTTCAATCCATGAAGATTGTATGTCTTTCCATTTAGTTGTGTCTTCTTTAATTTATCAGCAGTGTTTTATACTTTTCAGCGTGTAATTCTTTCACCTCTTTGGTTAAGTTTTTTTTTTTCCCCTAAGTTTTTTTTCTTTCTTTCTGATGTTATTATAAGTGGAATTGTTTCCTTAGTTTATTTTCTGGATTGCTCATTGCACAGAAGCACAACTGACTTTTGTGTTAGTCTGTGAACTCTTAGATGGCAGGAGTCATGCCTTCTTGATGTTTTGCAGAGTTAATACAAAAATTTAGTAACATTTATTAATATTTGTTTATGTATATTTATTTTTCAATAGCAGTAATCTTTTATTTTTTTTTTCTTTTTCTCTCCTGCTTTAGGGTACTACTAGTTCAACAGCTTCTCCTCCAGTCTCCACCCCTGTCACAGGACATAAAAGAATGGTCATACCAAACCAACCTCCTCTGACAGCAACTAAGAAGTCTACACTGAAGCCACAGCCTGCACCCCAGGCTGGACCAATCCCTGTGGCTCCAATTGGAACACTAAAACCCCAGCCTCAGCCTGTCCCAGCTTCTTACACTACAGCATCCACCCCTTCACGACCTACCTTCAATGTGCAGGTGAAGTCAGCCCAGCCCAGCTCTCACTACCTGGCTGCTCCTTCACCAGGACAATTTTATGGTTCAGGGCCAGGGGCCCAAGGTTATAATACTCAACCAGTTCCTATCTCCGGGCAAGGTCCCCCTCCTTCTACACGGGGAGGCATGGATTATGCGTATGTTCCACCACCAGGACTTCAGCCTGAACCTGGGTATGGGTATGCTCCCAACCAAGGACGCTATTATGAACCCTATTGCCCAGTGGGGCCTGGCTACGGGGGCAAAAATGACTCTGATCCTTCCTATGGTCAACAAGGCCATCCAAATACCTGGAAGCGGGACCAAGGGTATACTCCTTCTGGCCCTGGGACCCAGAACCCTGCTGGGATGTATCCAGTTGCTGGTCCCAAGAAGACCTACATCACAGATCCTGTTCCAGCCCCCTGTGTACCACCACTGCAACCAAAGGTAGGAAACTTATTAACACAGTGCTGGGAATAAAAGGGTACCTATCTCTGCCTGCCTTCCCCAGAAAGCAGAGCCTAAGGCAAAAGTATTAATATATGTGCTACTTTCATTTCATTAAAAAGTACAGTCTGCAGGAAGTGCTTGGATAGAGGCAGGAAAACGGGGAGATCCTATTTGGGGATATGGGAAAGTGTTACCAATATGAATTCTGTTAAGTATAAAGTACAACTAATTGTTCAGTTTTGAAGACCATATGAACCATAGCAGCTTGGGATAATCTCTTCCTTGGTAAAAAAGGAAAAATAATTTATTTTCTAGCTTTTGTCTCCTGTTCATCAAAGCCTTCTACCATGGGTTAGAGACTTCCTCACACTTAGATGTTGCATTTACTTGGTCACTAAATAGATCTGAAGCATCTAATGTCTTAGCAGGGGATAGGAAATCCCTAGGTGTGGAGGTGAGAGGTGCTCAGGGCAACACAAGATGAACTGCTGTCAGATTGGGCTCTTGTGAATGTGGTCACAGCCCAGGCAAAGTTGGTGCCACAGTGCTAGGGAAGAACAAGTGGATAAGGGACCAGGAGACAGCTGAGGCTAAGGTAATACAGATACCTTGCCTAATTTTCTTTGGGAGGGGGCTTCAGTATAATGGCCCTTGTTTATATCAGTGATCCTCCAGGAAAAATATTACTCTCCAACCTTTAATTCTATTAGGCAACTTAAAAATTTCTTTATGACAGTTCTCTTGTTTATTGTTTGATTAAATTTCAAGCATGTATGTGTTTTAAGTCAACATGTTATCAACTTCATATGAATAGCCAATATACAATACTGTACACACCTACTCACCTACAGCTTGGATTTTTCTTGACTGCTAGAACCAACATGATGATGTTTCCTCTCACCATGAAAAGAGGAACCAAGGAGAGTTACTAGGAAGGAGTGAGATGGAAAAACAAATCTAGTTTCCAGCCACTGTGTTAAAACCAAGCCTTCCCTTCCCTTTAGTTAGAACCGTGAGAAATTAGAATTTGGAGAAGCCTGGGTTAAATAGAAGTTCATTGGTAACCTGGGTGGATGGAAGTTTGTATCATATATATTTAACCCTTTACACATTTGAGATTGTCAATTTCGAGACATATCCATTTGCATTTTCAACATTACAACAAAAATTAGTGAGGTCCTTACTCTTCCAGGGGGTTTATTCAATCACTTCTTACATGAAAGCATCAGCTCTGGTGCAGATGGATTTTAGGTTCCTTAGGGGTTAGGAACCCTTCCGAGCAGGTGGGGCCTGAGGATAGCTAGAGGTATCCATCTATCTTATGAATGTGCATTACATGGAAGTGGACCAGCCATGATCATTTTCCAACATAAAGACTCCAAGCAAAAATGTTAAGTGTTTTTGAGACATTACTCTTGGACAGGCTTTCTTTTGAAAAATCTCTTTATGAAAAGAAATGTTATTGAGGGTTTTCTGTTTTATTTTTTAAAAAATATTGCCCAAAATAGCCAACCTGGACAGCCTTGCCCTTTGTTAACATTGCAGTATATTTGTTTTCATCCCTCCTGACCCTGAAGCGACCTGTTCAGAAAAAAAATGGGGTTATTCAACTTTACCTCACTTTGGGACAACCACAGCAAATTCTCCTATAGAAGATTGAAAGTTTAGGTTGAGACAATGGTCTTCACTGTTTAAGTTCAAATAGCTATGCAATTTTGCCCTGTCTGAAGCAGCCTGACTCTAATAGGATTACTGGGTGATGATCCTAGGGGCAGGGGACTCAGGCCTGAGTTGTTTAATGATCCTATTACCCAACCTGGGGAAACAGACATGAGACAGAGCAAAAGTATGTCTAGGTGGAGAGAATGACCTGGTGAGAAGTACTGAACCCAAATTCAAGTTTCCTGTTTTCCCACCATGTCTCTGGGCAATCTGAAACCAATCCAGTGGAGTAGGAAAAAGAATCAGCGCCCAGTGCACGACCTGGATCTAAACTAGTGTTTGGTTTAGATGTCCAGACACATCACTAGTATTTGGTCCTGTCTTCATCAACTCACTTGAGATGACAGAATGAATTTCTATTAGCCACTCTCCAGAAAGCTTGAAACTTTATTTTCCTTATTGGAATAAGATAATATTCAGGGTGATATATTCCACTATTGAAGATCCTGGATATCAGTAGATTTCATGTCATTAAAAAAAAAAAATCTGAACTATTTGTTTTTCAACAGTGTCATGTGTTTTAACATCATACTGTACATTTAAAAAATGAAAATCAAATCATGTACTTTTTGCAGTGATTATTAAGGAGAGTGGTTAGAGGTTGATATTTAGCCATCTGTCTTTGTTTGGGGAAATGCGAAAGAGACTGATGAAGCTACAGATATTGTTTGTGTCTGTTGGGGGGCATTGGTGGATGAAGGGGGTGGTCTCTTTCACAGTTGATCTTTGAGCAGAACACTACTGTATTTAACTGCACCTGTGCACAGAGGACCCTATTGTCTCAAATAGTGACTTGGCTTGGCTAAGCAATGTAACTCTTGGCTCCTAATTCTAATCCCAGTTCCTCCCTTGACATTCTTCTTTCAGCTTGAGGAAAGCCTCTAGACCTTTTTATGTCACGCTCTCAGCCTCAGTAAAGTAGAATGTCATCTTCACTAATTAATTAATGATTGCAAAGGGCCTGGAAATTTCCAAGGGCTGAATAATTGCCAAGTGAGGACTTGGATTCAGCTTTTACACTGGCTTTCATTTATTTCCAATTTTTTTAGGCACTGATGGAAAATATACCTCTGTGCTTTAAAACAATTATCTTTTGTTTCTTTGAGAAGTTCTTAGATATTTGGCATTTAACCCATTAAGGAAAAAGGTTTTTTTAAAAATGAAAGAAATGAATCTCCTTTATGTTTGAGAAAAGCTGCTTTAATTTCTCCATGTCGTGGTATAATATAAAAGAGGAGATAGAAGAAAGGAAGGAGAAAATAGGACAGAAAAGGAAAAGAAAAAGAAAGGAAAAAAAGAATGAAGAAAGGAAGGAGAAGCCCAAATCAGAACCTGCAAAGTTTAGGGGATCGTGATTATATTTGTGTTTCCATAATGTGCTGAGCAATGAATTTGCATGCTACAGTAGACCATAATGTGTTTCCTGGACCATCTGAGCTGAGTTCCTTGAAAAATATTGTTATAAGCAAGTTTTAGTGTTTTTTTTTTAAAGAGAGAAATGTTCCCTTCTCACTGGAAATCCTCTTAAAGTCACAGTGGAATCTCTTCTCTTTGCCATTTTATGAAAGCTTGTATCTGTGAGTTGCTGTGTTGTTCACAGAGCTTTTGTCCTGTGAGTTAGCTTCACATTCCTGTGAGATGGGATGCGTGTTTTCTCTAATTTTCATGTGAGGTGAGTCAGCTTGAAAGCCCCAGAGCCAGGACCTCGAGGTTCCACTTCCTTGTCATAAACATCACCTATGACGGCCTTGGCTCCGGTGAAGAGACAGATTGTTATTGTTGTTCAGTTGCTCAGTCGTGTCCCAACTCTTTGCAACCCCATGAACTGCAGCAGGCAGGCTTCTGTGTCCTTCACTATTTCCCAGGGTTTGCTCAACTCATGTCCATTGAGTTGATGATGCCATCCAACCATCTCATGCTCTGTCACCCCCTTCTTCTCTTGCCCTCAATCTTTCCCAGCATCAGGGTCTTTTCCAATGAGTCAGCTCTTCGCATCAGGTGGCCAAAGTATTGGAGCTTCAGCTTTAGCATCACTCCTTCCAGAGAATATTCCGAGTTGATTTCCTTTAGGATTGACTGGTTTGGTCTCCTTGCTGTCCAAGGAACTTTCAAGAGTCTTCTCTAGCACCATAGTTTGAAAACATCAGTTCTTTGGCACGCAGCATGTGCTCCATAAATATGAAGAGTGCTGGTACTATGCATCTCGGGAAAGCTGTGGAGCCCCACCTAGTGTGGGGGTTAGGTTACATTCTAAAATCACCTGGTAAAATTTGCTTGGAAAATCTTTCAGGATGGGGAGAACTTGGAGATCAGCAAACCATCTTTCGATAAATCCAACACAAAGTTTTGTGTTGGTTTATTTAGAGTCAGAACAGATTACTGCTGTTTATTTAGTGTTTGAAACTGGGGGATATTTAATGTTTCAGAGAGGAGACTGAAGGTAACGAACTGCTGGTGTCAGTTTTGACAGGCCCCCAAGACCTGGGAATTGTTGAGATTAAGAAAATATCTGAGAATGTTGATATAGTAGCATTTCAAATATTCAAATAATATCAAAATATTTAAATTTACTTTCATTGTGGAAAAGAGAAGGTGGTATAGATTGGGTATCTGGCAGAAAATGGGTGGCATTTGGGAGAAAGCTTTAGGGTAATCCTCTTACTAAATATCACACAATTCCTGGATCAGAGAAACAAAGAAGAGATAGTTAGGATATGGAGAGGGATGGATGCAGATACAGGTTTCGGGTCAGATAATTACTAGCTCTTCACCTAAGCTAGTAATACTTGGATTTGCATAAAGCTGAGGATGGAGGAGATTGCTTGTAGAGGACAGTGACTATAACATTAGTAATTCCTCTTTGCACAGGGCTTTTCCATTTCCAAAATGCTTTGTGGATCTCGCAGAAAAATGTGAGTGATAAGCACAGATAGAGGTGTTTGTTTCTCTTTTACTGATGGGGATTGAAAAGCTCAGTAATGAGAGTCACTCACCTAAGTTCATATGCCAAATTCATAGGTGAGCCACAAGGCCAAATTGGGTTTTTGGAAGGCTGTCCTCTTGCTTTCTCCACCTGGTAAACTGTGGATGTTGTTTTGGTGTTTGGGTGCAACGAGGGCCACATCTGCATCACCAGCCATTGTATGTGGCTCTGCTATGGCCTTCCTGATGGGCAGACACATCAGTGGCTCTGACAGTCATGGTGCTGTGTCATGAGATTAACAGCTGGAGGGGGAAGCACCAGTTGAACCCCTGATGGGCACCCAGCCTTGGCA